GAGATATGACCTTGGTTGCCAACTGTATGCCAGAACCATGTTTAGAGCAGCATGAAACCATGTGGTTGAATCAATAGGAATCTTCACATGACCCTTCCTCTTACCCTCATCATCTGGGAAGTGATAAAGGTTTCATAGACTAGCAAACCTCTCTCTCTAGCTCTTACTGGAAACTTGAACAGAAGAAATGGTATTGACTGGAAGTAGACTTAAAAGAAATTGGTTCTAGTGACTCCCCAAGGAATCTGCAATTTTCTGGAATCAACCAGACAGTTGAGTGAGAGGTATATACTGGGTCTGCCCATTGCAGTGAGTCTTGAAACAACTCTTTTATTCAATGATACTCAAAAGGGTATTGTAAAAGACAGCTATATACAATAAAGATAAAAATGAGGTAGACACTATTACAGAGCAAGTTTTCCTTCAAATACATCACAAGAGAGCCCCTTCTTAAGTCACAGTATCTCCTTCCTTCCCAAACCTAACACAGTCATATCACATCATCTGTGAGTCTAGTCTTGGTACACAGCACGTGTGGGCACACACACACACACACACACACACACACACACACACACACACACACACACAAGTCTTTAAAGGAGACCACAGCATCCAGAAGAGGGAAGTCTAGCATACTTTAAAAGCTAAATATACAATCATTATTATTATGCCCAAGAATTTACATCTGTAAAATATATTAATAACCTAGTAGCCCACATTTTAGTAAGCCCTAACTATTAATAGACAATAAGAAGCACCTACCAATTCTGTTTATCCTATTGTCACACATATTTGACAAGATTCAGTGTGTGAGGGTGATATGCTGAAGACTGGTCCCAAATATCAAAATATCTACTAGTGCCACACTTTGGAAAGCACTGCTTTGGGGGCTGTAATTAACACCAGAAAGTTATACATATGTTGTTGGGCCCTGACCCTTGTTCCTTGGATAGCTGTTGCCTTGCTTGCTGACCTTGATCAGATGTCCTCACTATGCTAATTCTCTGCTAGTTTCCTTCCTCCTAAACAGCTTACCAGGAGGTTCCTTGTTTGTGTATCCTGCATATTGGTGTAAACAGCTAGGACTCAAGTATGTAAAACATCTGTAGCAAACTTCTGCCCTCTGGGGTTCTCCCACAGTGCTGTAAGCCTGTATTTAAGGCCTCCTCCCTCCGTCAATAAACGGCATTCTACTGAGATGAATGACCTGCTGTCTTCTCTCTGTTTTAATCCTCAGCCCCTCCCTCGGACATGGTGAATGGGTAGTAGCACAGGCGCTACAGTATGTTACATAGGAGCATCCTACATACATTTATTTGTATTTTATCCCTACATATGCATATGCCTGTATAAGTCATGCTTGTTGGTTTTATTCTAATGCAAAAAAAAATGACAGTTTTTAATTGCAGGTAATTTGGGGGGGAAATGAAGAACACAATCTCCTTCAAACTCATCTCTCCAGGAGTTACCCTGGTCATATTTGATCTATGTTTGTTGAGATTTTTTTTTACTTATAGATACATGCATTTATTTTCTTAACAGTATTAGAAGCATGGTGGATAAAGAGGTTTCCACCCAACCAGCTTTTATATTACATTGTTATATTTTATTGGGAGTATTCTGCTATTTTACTATTTAAAATGCAAATATTAATCCTTGACATAATATCTTATATGCCTTTGATAAGTCGTATCTTTTATTTTTTGTGGTTTTCATATTTTTATACTCATAAAGCAAGGAAATAAACCTTAAGGCTTATTTATGTTTCTTTCCTTAGGATAACTTTCTGAACATTGGGTTCTTAGGGATGAAGGATCTATACCACAATTGTATACATATTCAAATCACCTTCCAGAACAGTTATTACAATTAACAAAGCTTATAATATAGAATATTGTTTAAATCCCTTGCAATCTCACCAGCACTGAATATCATCATTATTTTTAATCTTTGTCAATTTAATTGGTGAGCTACAGAGGCCCTTTGTTTCAGTTTTTATTTGAATATTAGCTTGAATGCTTTTCATAAGTTCAACCAACCACTTGTATTTCTTCATTCATAAATTATCTACTTATGCCCTTTGGTCATTTATGATTGGACTGTTTATTCTAATTTGTGTTATTATACAGCAAAGACATTAATCTATTTAATGTAGTCTCAGTTATAAGTGATCATCTGATTTCTTCTATCCTCTAAATTATTTTTGATGTGCATGTATTGTAGAATATGAAGCAAAATCTAGAAATCACATCCCAAGATGCTACATTTTTCTTCACAGATATTTGATACCACAGAAGAAATTAATATTTCTTTATATCATCTGTGGTTTTCTTGTTAAGTTATAAGTACATTTAAATATTTAATTCACCCAGGAATAACTATAGTGGATGATGAGTATATAAATCTAATTACATTTTTCTTTTTAAAAATTATTTATTATTTTATATGTATGTGAGTATGCCTGAGTGCATATGTCTGCACCTCATGAATACAGGTATCCAAGGAGGCCAAAAGAGGGCACCAAAGCCCCTGGAACTAGAGTTAGGCACCTGGCCTGGGTGCTGGGAGCCAAACTCGGGTCCTCTGAAAGAGTAGCAGGTAGTCTTTAACTGTTGAAGCATCTCTCTAGCTCCTACATTTTACTTTTAAAAGTACTTTTGGGATATTCTGTGTAATTCTCGTGGGTCTGAATATGATACAGCTAATGATGTGAGGTAGTACCTCGGAAAGTAGATTGCCTCTAATTAAATCCATGCTCCACCTCTTATTAGTTGAACAGCCTTTGGAAAATGTGGCAAAATTCTCTGCCTTAGTTTCCAAACAGAGCTTGACACACAGTGAGTGCCAGTGAAGTGTCAGTTCCCAGAGATATGCTGCTGCTCTTGGGACTCATTGGCTTACAGATGTATTAGTCCCACCCCCAACTCCATCTTCCCATAGCATTTCTTCTTCTTTTTTTTTTTTTTGGCTCTACACACAGCACCTTTTCTCCCTCTCTGCAGCTACTCTTCTCCTTTTCATAGGACACCTGCCATACTTGATTGAAGTGGATCCCAGTGACCTCACTCTTGGTACTGGAAGTTAGTGCCTCAACATACATTCTTTTGAGTGATACAATTTAACATAAAACATTATTCATTACGTCTTTTCACATGAGTTATGAAGCTTTCAAACAACACTAACAGTGACTTTAATCACAATGCTCCTTTTGTCTTTATGGTAAACGGCAAAACTAGGTTTTGATTAGAATATTGTTTGTTGAGAACTACAAGGCCTCATCTCTCAGTTCCTTGGGATGCTGGTCTACCTTTTGGCTTGCAAGCCTCAGTAAGAACTCAAGTCCCTTCTTGAGGTCATTTGGGTTATTCATATGGTTGTTGAAGTCTGTTTTACAAATTCTATTGTAGAGAGGCATAGTGTTCCTTTATGAGACCACCAACCAGCAGAGATGTATGACTACTGTTATTTTCTTTTGTTTTGTTTTCGATGGCTACATCCATCTTCATTTGTGTAGGTGTCCTAAACATTCTTGACAAATTTCACAACCGAATTGCCTTTGTTGTCTTGGGAAGGGGATTTGTGGACCTAACCTAGGCAATCTCTCCATTCACAGTATCTCCTAGAAATACTTTAGGTATAAGCCTGAAGGACAGTGCCTTTTATAGTTCATAACCTGCTCATTTCAGTTTTATTTTATTTTATATTACATTCTGGTCATGGTACCTCATTTCAAAGAAGCATGGATGACAAGTTAACTATGCTAAAAACCCCCTTCCTTAGGAGCTGAGGCCCATTAAGCACCCTTGTCTATGTTACACAGCAAGACCAAGTTTTAGTCTCCATACTTCTTGGTTCCTTAGAACATGGGTTAAAAGAAACCAAATGCATGCACTTCTGTACAATGGAAGACCACTTTGCAATAAAAATAACGGGACTATTTGATAACAATAACAATGCTTTCTGGCCACTCCAAGTGAGAACCAACAGATTACAAACTATCTGACCCCTTGCATCCAATTCTCTGTTAATGTGAAAATGACAGGAAGGCACCAAATGTCAGGGGTGAGCTGGCGCTGGAGGTGAAGGGAGCCTTTTATCACAAAGCAGCAGCATACGCAATCTGCTCAATAACGGGAAAGACATCCTAATGACACACGAGGGTAAGTGGATTGGGCATGAGCAAAAGATCAACCACAAGGTGGTGATCACGGAAGCCGTTTACCTCCTTGTTATAGATTTGGAACTTTAGCATAAAGTTAAAAAAATAATCAAACACACAGCACCTAATTTGTGTGAGGCAGGAGCCTTGAAAACATGGCTCTAGGGCACCTTTTCCCCCCTCCAATTATCTGAACCCTCAGCCCTCCCTAATGGCCTACTTCCCAAATACGCAATCCAATGACTTAATAAACTGAGAGATAAAGGGGGTAGGAAAGAAAGATACAATTAAGGAAACAGAGGCAACCCAAACTTTGGCCATTGAAGTAAAATGGTTGTGCTAATATCTTTGTTAATGTTTCGTGGTCAGAGGGAAGAGAAAATGGCTCCCAGAATTACCGCCTTTGCCATTTTAGGGCCCCTGTGGGAGCCCAGCTGCACTACACAATGTGCTTAGAAATCTGAGCTTCCATTACAAAGTCTAAGCTTATGGTTTAGTTTAGAGGCCCCTACAGAAAGATCACTCACTCTCTCAGATAAAGCTCTCAAACCTGGCAGGGCTACGAGGAAGGGCTGGGGAGTCCCTGCCCTGACGGTAGTTGGCTGGCCTTGAAAGTCCTCGGCAAGCTGCATTCTAGTACACACAAAAGCATTGTGTTGGGTTCCCGGCTTTGCCCTGTGCTGGGGCAGGCTGCCCAGTGAGGTAACGTGCATCCATCTGTAGAGTGGCCCAGACTCGCCCACACACCCTGATCCGTGGAGCTCGGAGTAGCCGAGGCAGCTGCTCCAATGGTATACCTCATGACGTATTTACAGTCTTACTGCGCGAGACAGATGAATCGCTGCCGTTTAAAAGGACATTACCAAAAGAAGACCTGAGAACCGGTAAACACCCAGTCAGCGAAACCACATTGTTTTCTGCCCTCCAATCAGTCCAGAATGAAAGGGAACTCCCTGGGGCTTAGGAACTTGAGAGGTAAGACCTGCATCACTGTTATCATTTCACTGTTACAGAAAGGGCCTCCAGAAATCACAAAGCCAGTGAAAGGATGGCTAGCTACGTTGGAACTTGGTGGTGGGAGATAGAAGTGGTGAACTCTTCTCCTTCATCCTCCATCATTTTTTAGGCAAAGGACCTTCCACTGCTGCACCCAAGGGGAGGTGTAAAGGACAGGACAGAGGAGACTGGTGCTGATGCTGTCATCCCCCAAGCTATACTCACTAGTGGTCACGGGGTCTCAGAGTGTCTTGTTTCTACAATGTCTTTGCCCACCCAAGCCTGAGTACCAGGGATCTCATACTTGCTCTCTTCACCTTCCAGATACTGTCGTCCTTCTAGCTCAGGTGCAGTAAGAACCCAGTTGGGCGGCATCAGGCCCATGATTCTCTCTCTACCCTGGGGGCCAGTGTGAGATATGAGCTACTGTTGTCTATCCATACAGCAGGATGGGTATGGAGGTGAGTAGAGTCTGAACTTCACCAAAGCCTTGTGTTCTTGGTAGAGAATCCTTCTAGCCCTGTGTGTTCCAGGAAAGAGCTCTCTGCCTAGAACGACGTTCCCCATACGGCTTACATAAAACTGTGGCCAACCTTGGTGTACCTATGACAAGGCCACATAGGGACTTCTAATTTTCACCGTTTGTCTTAGAAGTCTAGCTGTAGTACTAACCACTGTAGACAAATCACCCCTGTGTGATTGGATCGGATAGGGCCCAGGCTTCTTCCCTGCACCCCAGACCCTTCCCACGACTGGCTGACCACTAAAGAACATTTCCAGTTCCCTTAATCATCAGGCCATCTCTCCCTCTACTCACTCGACAGTAGTTACTTTTGTATCAGCATTACCCAAGCACCTGGCAGAAACAGCTGAAGGTAGAAAAGATGTATTCTGGCTCACAGTTCCAGAGACTCTTAGTTCTTCATGAAGGAGACACTACAGTGAAGAGCATGTGGCAGAGGCTCCTCCACATCACAATGAACAAGGAAGCAGGAAAGGTAACCCAGAGCAGGGTTTAGGCCACAACCTCAGAGGACTTGCCTTTAATCATGACTCATTTCTACTAGCCAGGCTGCAGCACCCAGTGGTTCCACAGTCTTTTGCTCCTCCCAAAACAGCACAATCAGCTAGAGAACAAACTTCAAAACACCACCATGGGAGGGGGGATAGTTCAGATACAAGCCAACACACCCCACACAAACAGGTCTACCCATGGAAACCCTCCTTTCTATTGTAATAGCATCTGTCTTAGTTAGGATTTCTATTGCTGTGAAGAGACACCAGGACCAGGACCTTGGCAACTTTTATAAAAGAAACCATTTAATTGGGGCTGTCTTGCAGTTTTAGAGGCTTTTTCAGTCCATTATCACCATGGTGGGAAGCATGACAGCATGCAGAGAGAAGTGGTACTGCAGAGAGAGCTGAGGGTTCTCCATCTTGATCCATGGGCAGCAGAAGGAATCTGTGTCCACACTGAGTGTGGCTTGAGCATAGGAGACCTCAAAGCCCACCCCCACAGTGACACACTTCCTCCAACAAGACCACACTTCCTAATTGTGCTACTCCCTATGAGCTTACAAAGGCCAATTACATTCAAACTACCACAGCGTCTCCCCTCTAAAATTCTGTCTTACAGCTGTTCACAGTTACAGTTTGTCCTTGGACAGTGTCTGCAGTTCAGGATGAAGGGAAACAAAGTCCCAGCCACCGCTTGGAGCTGACATACAGTTGGCAGAGCATGAACTACACCATGAGGGTGAAGGACACATGTACAGGTGAAGGCATGTATACTCACATGTAAATTCTTCATCAGGTAGGTCTCTAAAGGGAAGAGGCTGAATCGAGGTGCCCTGAGTGCCTAAACCAGCCCTTTGCTCTCTGCAGCATCCTTCCCACTCAGAACTCCAGAAGAGGCCCTTCTAGCTCATGCTGTATCATCCACATAACTCCCTAAACATAAAACAGACCTTGCCCAGGGAAGGCCATCCACTCCTCCATCCCAGGCTAAGGCCGGCCATCAGGAAACAAGGCAGCACTAAAAGTTTATAACCTGTGCCTTGAAACTCAACACCAAACACGCCCGGAGCTGTGCTCTCTTTACAGGCTGTGGGAGAACCTGTCCAGCCTTTCAGGGCTGGTTCTCAGTCAAGGAAACCACAAGGGGTGGCCCTTGCAGTGGTCAGCAGCAGGGAATACAAAGAGTCATCTCAAACGGGACAGCTAACAGCAGTGGAAAGCAGATGAAACAGATGTGCCCCGTGCTTTTCCTTCCCTGGGTTTTTCTCCTTTCCTGAGACCAAGAGCACTTGGACCCCACCCCTCTGAGCGGGGACGTCGAGCTATAAGCTGATGATGAAGCAATGAAGAGACTAAGCCTCTAAGATGTGAGATGATGCCGCTATGGGGGCCCCACCAGAAATGGCAGTTGGAAAATGCTAAGGCCAGGTGGCCCAAGCCCTTAAGTTTAAAAAACAAATAAACAAAAATGAGTTCCATGTGCTTCAGATCTGGCAAGCAATAGATGCCAGTCCATGAAACATCTTGCTGAATATGTTAGGTGCCAACTGTAGGCTTTATTTTGCAAATATTAGCTCATTAAATTCCTACTACTCAAAAACACATCATTTGAATTAAAGTCAGAGACTTAATGCTAAAAGAGAATGGGGGAAATCCCTGTAGTTAGTCAAGAAGACCTCAGAACCTGCCACCCACCACCCATTCAACACAGAGCACTGTCAGTGGCTACTGATGTGCGTATTTTTTGTTTAGTCTAACTCAATAGTGTGTGTGTGTGTGTGTGTTCATGTGTGTGTGTGTGTGTGTGTGTGTGTGTACATATGTGTACATGCCTGTGAAGGCTAGAGAACAACAGTGGGTGTCATTCCCCAGGAGCTATCAACATTGTTGTTGTGACATCAACTCTCTCATTGGCCTAGAGCTCACTAACTAGCCTACACTGGCTGGCCAGTAAGCCCCAGGGACCTGCCTGTTTCTGCCCTCCTCAGAATTAGAGCTGCAAGAGAATGCTACCACACCCAGGATTTTTACACCGGACCTTTGGATTTAACTCAGGTCCTTAGGTTTGCACAGACTCTAACTATCTCCCCAGCCCCAGTGGAATAGATCTTATAAACTGCACTGTGCCTAAGAATCACTCACCAAACATGCTTTATCACAGAAGCCTTAAAGGATTACCCAAGGGTAATTTTGTCATTAAGAAATCCCCAGGGTGTTGATCTCAGAGGCCATTCCCTCCCTAGGACTCCAGCCCACTGTGTCAGAGCTTGTGACCATCATGCAAGGCCAGCCCAGGCCCACAGCATTGAGAAAGGGCTAGAGTGTCAGCAGCGTACTCACAGGAGCTCTCAGGTTATCACAGTCATAGTAATTTGAGTTTGAACAAGGTCAGTGGGGTGAGTTGGAGAGAGGAAGGAAAACATAAGTGCTCTGTGGATCCCTCCTGTGAAAGAGTCCCCAGCGTGAGCCTAGATCATGCACAGGATGCTCAAATCGTGAAAAGAATAGCCTAAATGACAAAGTCAAGCACAAAGGACCACACACCCTAGGGTTCCTTTTATATAAAATGGTAGCAATGGCAAAACTATAGTGTCCAAAAGTGGAGAATTTGCTGCCTGGGGCAGAGGGTCATCAGGGAGAGAAGTGAGTAGGAAATTGATAGAAAAGGAAAGATGAGAAAAGAGATTTTTAGGGTAAGGAAAGACACCCCCCCCCGCCCCGTGCAAATGTCATGGGTTACATGATTATACAGCATAACCAAATTTCACTATATTGTGCACATGAATGTTATAAACTAGAAACAACATCTTAACGCATTTTCAAAAGGGTGCAAGAGGCACACACATACAAAAGATCTGCAACCCCTCATCCAAACAAAAGGCTGCTGTGCAATTCAGGTCAGAAGAATACACAAAACAGATTCGCATTCTTGCTTTTGAATGTCTCCCGTCACATCACTGAAGAGAGAGAAAGGAAAGAAGCTGCAACACACGTTTGAATGTCTCCTCTCAGGCCCGGCTCTAATCAGTGCAGAGAACTGGGTAACAAATAAGACCAAGAGGGTTTAATTAAACTGAGCAATCATTAAACTGGATTTAAGAGTGCCTGTGTTTGCAAAACAACAAAATATTTACAGACATTTTCTTCAGGCCCTTCATTAGCTTCAGATTCCACAGGAAATATGGAGGTTGGGAACAGGTCCTAATGAGATCATGTGAATTTTAACTACTGAGGTTACCGTGGCAAAGAGACAGCATAGAAAAAATGCTTGTGATGGAGTGTTAAGCAAGAAAAGCGAGATACCAAATGAGCTGGAGCTAGTCTTTCTAGTAGGTTTAAAAACAAAAACAAAAAGACAAATCTATACACTAGGAAAATCCAAGCAGTAAACCAGTGATTGTACAGAGCAAGTGCGGCTAGGGGATTTATTGTTTTAAATCTCCATGTTCCAAGATTGCTGAAATATGGTTTTGTTACCTTACATTCTTTCAAAACAGAAGTGTGTCGAAGTCATACTAGTCATCATCTCTTTGCTCTTCCCAAGAACAAGGAAAAACAATCTTGGAGTTTCTGTCCCCTTGGTGTCCACTGTACCTGCTACCCAGGTTCTTATACACAACAGGAGAGTGAACTGTTCTCTTCTAGGTCACCTCTGACCTGTGTCTGGCTGAATCCGAAGATCAGATCTCGTCCTCATCACACTGACTCAAGGAACAGTGTTGACGGAGTTGGTGCCCCGTCCCCACCTCTGGAGTTCAGGCACACTGTTTCTGTGCTGTTCTTCCAGACTACAGCTTACCCTGCTTACAGAGGCCCCACTGCTGAGCTCTTCTAGTCTCCCTGAGCCCTTCACTAGAGTGCTCATCACTCAGTCCTCCCCTCCTAATCTTGAGTACCGCATCCAATCCCACATAACAATACCCATACAATGACCACAACTGCATATCACTATTCAAACCTTCTCCACTAAACTCAGGTTGGTCTATCTACCTTCCCAGCTACCTACCTAATATACCCACCTGACTATGCCACAAACACCTCAGTCCTTGCCTTCCTATCTAAAGTTGACAGTGTCAACCTTCTTCCCAACCTGTCCTTCCGTACCTTCCCTCAGTATCTCAGCCTCCCTGGCAGGTTCCATTTGCCTCACCCATATCACTAGTAGATGCTTCATTGAATCTCCTGCAGTAACACAGTCTGGAGAAGCACACTGGTGCCTGCAGAAGTCTGACTGGGATGGTTCGGATGACTCCCTTGCTGCCACTGTGCACCCCAGCATCAGCAGCCCTGCACAGTTTGGCTGAGGCCATTCACCCACACTGCAGCATTTAATGCAGCCTTCAAACCTTCATCTCTGTAGACATGTACAGTCTAAAACACCCGGGCCCTATGGTGTCCTCACCCTTGGAAGTGAAGTTGAGACATCAAGCTTTCCTCAGGGAAGCCTTCTCTGAATAGCACCCCCATCCTAAGCTATGGTGTTCCCAACTCCTGCAGTCCCCAATGCCTACCTCTTTTGTGAAGAGACAAATATTCCATTTTTTGTAGACTATAAAGACTCCATAATAGAGTCAGGGAAACCTTCCCAGTTTCTCTTCTGCCCTATAACCATGGCTACTGATATCATTCATGTATCTAAAGTATGATTGGGAGAACCAGACATACCTACAGCATGTACATCCACAACCCTGGAGATGCTAACTGAAATCAAGAACATTAAAGGTCACCACCAGGCATCTCTGTTCACAGACAATAAAAATGAATGAAGTCACAGGCTGGGAAATACAGAGGGATAGGATTCTCAAGAAAATGAAAAATACAGATCCTATCAGAAGGCATCCCATAGCTATGTTTAAAGAGCATGGTATATTCACAACTGTGCATTTTCTATGCCATGAGCTGGGCTCAAGGCCCACAGATTTGCAATCTCTAAATCAAATGACAGAAAAAGCTCCTAAATGTGCAAGACCTCAGGGATTAAAACTGATTGAAGGCTTCCAGACAGTGGAAAATGCCTGCACATAACTTGCCAGGTGACAGATGGGTACACAACGCCTGCACACCACCAGCTAGGTGACAACTTCTCACATGGATCTTCCCAGTCATCCGAATAATAGCCCCAAGAGGCAGGTTCATTATCACGCTATTTTGCCTTTGAGAAAAACTAGAGCCTAGAGAAGCCAGATGACTGAACAAGGTCACTCAATAAAGTTCAAAAGAACCGGAGCCTTTGGCATTAATTCCAGGGAACCCACATGTACGTGGGCATGTCCAGGGTGCTCTTGGTAGAAAGTGTCTGATATCATCAGTACCCCATTTGTTTCAAGCTAAACTGGGTATTCTGAATAAATGCTATGGATTTACATAAGAATTTCCCCTGACCACTTTGTTTGTTTGTTTGTTTGTTTTGTTTTTTGTTTTTGTTTTGTTTTTCGAGACAGGGTTTCTCTGTGTAGTTTTGTGCCTTTCCTGGAACTCACTCTGTAGTCCAGGCTGGCCTCGAACTCACAGAGATCCACCTGGCTCTGCCTCCCAAGTGCTGGGATTAAAGGCATGCGCCACCATCGCCTGGCCCCCTGACCACTTTTATGTCTGCCTTTTAATATTACTTCTTCATCTCCCTCCTCTTCTTTTTTTTTTTTTTTTCAATTACAAAGTTTCAAAGTCTTGGGATATCTCTGGGCTTTATGCTGCACACAGCCAGAAAAGGAAGGCCATGGCATCCGTGTGTAAAACAGCCTTTCATTCTGGTAATAGAAGCAGAGCAGCAGCCACGGTCTGATGAACAGGCTACACAATGCTTGCCAGCATCCAAGGCTGCACCTGGGACCCCTGGGAACAAAAACAACTTGATTCCAAAAGTACAAATGTAGAAGCAAAATAGACAAAATGGGGCCCACATACCCTAAATCCATATAAGAATTCAATCTCCTCACCATGAAGGCTTAAGTACAAGTGAAATCACTTTGACATTTCCAAGGTGAAGAAAGCTGAGGTTACACACAATGGCTCAAATGCACACAGAACATCACAGCTTGGAGATGGCCGAGCCTTATAGCAGTCCCCTAAAATGGCTGCATTAACCTCAGTACACAGCAAAGAGAAAGCGGTTCAAAAGGTTTAGGTGAACTTATGGTGCCGAGCAGAGATTTGGACAGAAGAGGGCTTTGATTGACAAGTCTGTGTTCACAAGACTTCATTTGGGATCCTCAAAGTTTATTGGTTATATAAATCCTGTTAGAACTTATTAGATGCAGATTCCTGGGCTGGCCTCAGGGGTCTCTGAGTTTCTACCATAGGGATGGGCCCTAAGCATGCACACTGGTGAAGTGCCTCCAAGACATCCAGTGCAGGTGTTTTATGGCCATAACATAAGAATTACTGGGCACGTGGCACATTTTGCAGATGAGAGAGACACCTTTCAAATGGAAACCAAACACTACAAACAGTGAAATGTTGAAGCCAGCAAATCTTATTTTTGCAGAAG